GACTCGTCGTGTGATCTGCGGGTGAGACCTAAATCACAGACTTTTGCTGTGAATCTACCGGCGCTACTGTCGTTCATCATCAGTATGTTATCGGGTTTGAGATCCAAATGCGCGAAGTGTTTGGAGTGGATGTGACGGACACCACAAGTCATGTCCCGAAACAGAGTCTCAATGCTCTTAAAAGACATCATTTGTGACTTCATTGCCAAACATCCCATGTATTCCGAGAGATCCATGATCGCCAACTCCATGGCCACTATTTGATGGTTAGCCACTCTCAGAGGTACATAAGAGACGACATTCCGGTGCCGAAAGGCCTTCAAATACTTGATCTCTTGTATGACTGACTCTTTGGTTCGTTTATCACTTAAGTCACAGAACTTAAGCGCCAGAGTCTTGCCATCCATACGACCGGCCATTACTGCTCCATAACCGCCGGCAGAGAGATAGCGGTCGAGAAGTATACCATTCGCTCGAAGAATAGGAAGTGATTTGCGGACGAGTTCTTTGTCTGAGTCCTGCATTTGAGTCGAGTTGTCGACGACGTCTTTGTTACCATCGAAGACAGACTTTGAACGCTTCCGAAAGAGTCGAGTCATCCGTTTGACACCAAACCTAATACCTGTCCAACACGAGGGCTGCTGGACATCGGTGTCAGACATTGTTGGAAGTCCTTCACCTGACTGTGCGATCGGTTCCACTGTTTCTGTGGACTCGACTTCTGGAAGTCCTTCATCTGTAGGTGCGATTGGTTCCACTCCTTCGTCATGTTTACCATTCTTACCGAACAGTCGACCGATTCTTTGACCACAAGTCTTAAGCCGTGTCTTAAATCCTGTAAAACATGTCTTACGAGTGCTGTCAGGGATGGACTCATAAGTGACTAAACCATCCGAAGACTGGACGGTAACGCCTGATATCTGTCTCAACCCTTTGATCTTTGTTTTGGTTGTCTGTCCACTCAATACTCGTGCGACTCGTTTGCACTCTTTCTTGTTATTCCTATTCCTCCAGAACTGTCCGATGGAGTGGACAGTAGTCTCACAGCGAGTCCATAGACGGCATTTACCATCGCCTCTACGGGTGGCGCGAGTGTCGGATCCGTTGGCGTCCTGGAAGGCCGACCCCAACGGTCGCCTCTTTTGTGACGAGGAGTCAGATCGACCAGTGGTTCCAGTGATTGGACTGGTGTTTAGGGTCATCAGTGACACCACCTCTGATGGACTAGTGGTCACCTCTCCTACCCCTTCCACCCGCTGGTCTAACCGGGTTTCAGGGGGCGACTCATGTAACTCAGGAGGCGGGGCGCACACCATACGAGCACATGAGTCGACTTTCGGCGATGTCTTGGATGTCATTTGTGGTGATATTTAGTGATAACTGGAAGAATATTTCGAAATCGTGTCAAAAGAGTTTGATTTCGCGCCCCAAAGAAAATTCGCCAAAATTTCCCAAATATTGTTCAAAAAGTTTTAAAAAGTTTTAAAATTCATTTCAAAACCCAATGTATTATTAAATGAATGAATACTGTATTGAATTGAATGATTGAATCTTTAATTCATTCATTCAATGATTTTATGAGACGTGGATCCGATGGACACAATCTGTGGTCAAACATAAAATGAAGGCAAACTTTTTTGAATGAATTTTGTTTTATTTATAATTTAATTATTATTAATTTATTAATTTAATTTAATTATTTCTAATCTATATCCTTTTACATTAATTGTTTTAATATGAATCATAATCCCCTAATTCCTTAATTAACTTCATTTAGTGCTTAAAATGTTTAATTCAATCATAATTTGCAAAACTTTTGACAAGTTTTGACACTAAATGTCGTTATTATTGAACGAAAAGTGAATCCGTTTTTCAATGAGAAAAATGTTTGTGTTTTTTGAATACAAAACCAGTGATTGGTTTCACAAATGCCTTAAACATCGCTTCAATTAATCCGATAATCCGTTAACGGATTAGAGATTAGATAAGCCAACAGCCGGTGATCATGACTTCGCGGTGGTCCACATCACAGCTGATCGCAGAGTACAAAGACCTTCAGGTGAGCCACACATGCATTGAATAATGAAAACATTGGACTCACGAGTAATGTCCCACATTTAGGCCGTATGTCTGGCCATCAGTCTGGACGGCCGGTGCGCCCTATCCTCCCGGCGCTCCATATCACTCATTGACTGCAATAAACCCGATGTCATTGACCACCGGATCAAACGCGAGACCAAATGGGACTCAACGGCCACTGAATTCAATCCGTTGGACAGCAATCTGTTGGCCATCACTAACGCACAGACCGTTCAGATCTATAACATCGACGCCAACGTCCGCAACAGTCAGTCGCCACGAGTGGCAGACATCGCGAGACACTAATCCATTGCTTTCGTTGTCTTACAGCCGCCTCTGACTCGAGTAATGGCCAAAATGGGTCGACCGGCAAAGACACACAACTGGTGACACTTCGGGGCCACACGCGGACTATCACTGACCTGAACTGGTCGTACAGCGATGTCAACTCATTGGCCACCGCTTCCTATGACAATAATATGTATATTTGGGACATCAGAGACTTCCGGAAGCCTCAGCTGTCCATGAGTTCAGTGGCCGGCGCCACACAAGTCAAGTGGTCTAAAGTGAATGAACACATGTTGGCCACCAGTCATGAGGGGGACGTACGGGTGTGGGACAGGCGTAAGAATAACACACCAATTCATTATATAACCGCCCATTTGTCCAAAATTAATGGTTTGGATTGGAATCCCAATATCGGCTCACAGTTCGCCACTTGTAGTCAAGACGGAACCGTTAAGGTATGACATGACATGACATGACATGAGTGGACACACATTTGCATTACTTATTGAATGTCTTAATCTGTTGGTGTTTTTTGTGATGATATCTAGTTCTGGGATTTGACGACATCTAAAAGCAAACCCGATATTCTGACAACAGGTCTACCCGTCTGGAGGGCCAGGTTTACGGTGTGAATGAATTATTGTTTTAATTTTTTATCGAAATAGACTGTGAAGTAAGTAAACCTGTCGGCAAACCGTTACCTAACTAATGTCGTAATCACGGAGTTAACGCTGCTTGCCCACTTTTGTTGAGGGAGACCTACACCAGGTACCTAACGAAGCTGGTACCGTTGCACTCATTTGTGGGACACTTGGATGTAGTGCTGGACTTCGGATGGCATAACAAGAATGGCAACGAATACGAACTCATCACTTGGTCTAAGGATAACAGCCTTCGCATCTGGAAAGTGGACTCACAGTTACTGACCCTTCAGAACGAAGACAACTGCGGACACGCCTTCGACTTCAACGCCGACGACAAGTTACTATTGGTCTCGAGATGGCCAAGACGCCTGCCTTGGCTAAGCTCGCGTTGCGGCGCGGCCTCTGGGTGTAGAGAACTAGACTTAGGCAGCATATTCTCACCAAGCCTAGTCAACTTCCGTTGAGCTGGCGGCCACGAGTCGTCGGACATGAAGGACATGAAGAAGCCGCAGACCCCGGAGACGCCGGAAACCAATTTGACGCAAGAGTTCTCCCTTTTGAACGTCAATATACCGAACGTTCAGATCGAGGAACTCAATGCAATCAAAAGGGTTTGCATAATAACCGCCACCTCTTCCATATCGTGTCGGCTGAAGATGACGTTCCCATCGGGTTATCCCAATCACGTGGCACCGCACTTCAGTTTCTTGAGCAACGGCGCGACCGCACCGTCCGATGACGTGAAGAAAGAGCTGCTGAAAGTGCTGCAAACAACGGCTTTCCTTCAGGTGAAGCGCAACCGCACGTGTCTCGAGCCATGTCTTCGACAGTTTATCGCAACACTCGAGCGCCTGACCGGCACATCCCCGGCGCTCATGTACGGGACACGACTGGAGCCGATTTCAGGATTAATACCCGGCCATCGCTACGGCTGCTATTTGGACGCCTCTTCCGTTCCTTTTCCCCGCACTTCTGGCGCCCGATTCTGTTCCGGAGAGGTATGCCATTAGTTTTGAGGGATTATTATGATAGCAATTGTTGACACTTTATAGCTATTGGTGTGTTTTGGACGACCGCCACATTTGGAGCAAATGAACGCACAGACAGAATACACGCCGCGATCGTTGAGTGCTTTAGACGCCTACCTGTCCACTCATCACCGGTCGGCTCAACCCAACCAAAACGTGGACCCAATCGTGCCGTCCATCTCATCCTTTTATTTCGATCCTTCGCGACGTAAAAGATATAAAACTAAATTAAGACGCAATCAAATAGAGACCAAAGTGGGCGCCGCCGGCAAACACAACAGCAATAACTGCGGTCCGGTGTATGTCTTCTCAGTGGCCGGACTGCTGCCCATCAGTCGAGTGTTGGCCGAGAATTATGTGATGAATACAAACGGAGACATTGTGTCGATGTGTGAGACCAACGCCAAAGTGGCCAACACTTTCGGGCGCCGAGACTTATGCCAGACCTGGAATTTAGTCAAATTGAGTGCTGAGATATACCTGAAGAGTTTGAATCAGGCAAACCTAATGGAGACGCCCTGGGCTTTGCACCCATTCGGCAAACGTATGGTTCAGTCGCTGTAAGAAAGCTTAGATTAGATCTTAAGTATACAGTAATTGAGATGAATTTTACTTTACTTTTGATAATTGTCTACAGAATAGAGCACTCAGTGCTGAAGTGCAATGACATCCAAACGGCCGCAATGCTCGCCTGTACTTTCCATATGACAGACAACAAAGTCAAGTTACCACATGTCAAGACATCACAGCCCGGGAGTGGCAATAATTCGGTTGTTATTCACTCTTTTTATTATAAAATTTTGTGATTATATTTCTAAATGAATAGTAATGTGTTTATTGCGCCGATGAGTGGATTCACAGACATTTACAGACAAAACAGTTGAAACTCTAATCTCTTTTTGTACTCTTTCTCTCTCTTGAAATCGCTTTTCCCTATAGCTATACATCTCTTTAAGACTATTGAAGGTATGGAACAGTTTACAAATACCGGTAATGTATTTGTTTGTCACATTGTTATCCATTAGCTGTTGTTTTGGTTGACCCGCAACTCATTTGTCATTTCATTTCATTTTTTGCTTATTTTATAGTCATTGCTATCATTTGATAATTTTACTAACATTTTATATGTTTTACAAACAGCCGGGAAGTTCTCCCTATCACACGGTCTGTTCAACAATGCAGGCGCCAAACACTCCCGAAACTTATGGCGATTGGAATCTCAGTAATTAATTATTTGTTTATTTTTGAAGTGATTTGTGTATTAATTGTGAAAATAATGTGTGCTTTCAGTCTCTGCTGTGGAGAGTCTGAAGAGAACGCGATCTAACAGTTGGTCTGACTTTGCGGAGAACGAGGCCCTCATCTCAGGTCTGGTGAACAACCGATGCGACAGCTTTTCCGAGCGCTTGGAACTGGAGGCTCACGAAAACAACATTAAGTATGACATTACCCTCAATAACGGTATTACCGTATGAACTGATTGTGCATTTGTGTGGCACAGGATGTTGGAGCCGAAGCTGCAGTTCCGATACGATTATTACAAACAAATATACGCCGATATCCTCTATCGGTGGCAACTCATGGAAAAGCGAGCACTCATTCTGAAGACATGTCTGAACGTGAATCAGAGTCAACTGTTTCACGTGGGCATCGACTTCGTGACCGAATGCCAGAACCCGTTATGTGAGAAGCGGTACAACACATGTCGCGGTCCATACTGTGGGCACTGCAAGACACCGACCCTGTCGTGCGCCATATGCCGTATGCCAGTGCGCGGGGCAGTCAACCACTGCGTGGTGTGCGGTCACGGAGGACACACTGTCCACATGTATAACTGGTTTGCGCAGTCAGACCAGTGCCCCACCGGTTGTGGATGTCTTTGTTTGCAACAAAATAATAATATTTTCGCTTAAAATTGTTATGCGATTTGACCGCAAATTGTTGTACATATTTAGTACTGTAGTCTTGATTTAGATAATATAATTTTATTATTTTTATAGATTTGTAAATATAGTATAATTTAATTTTAACTTCTGTATTTCTCTGTTTTAAATCATTGAAAGTAATACATTGACCAAAAATAAATAGTAATTGATTTTAATTGTAATTTTTTGTGATAAATACTTATTTTTAATATCACTTTTAAATATTGAGAATTTAGTCATGAATCATGATTAACATTTAAATACAGTTACTGTAACTGTTTATTAAAATTCATTTGACACTTAAAAGGGGATAAATATAATAGGGTTTCATTAAAGTGAGTGTAATTTATGTATAAAAGTGTGAAAAAATTTTAAAAATTCAAATGTGACTGAAAGGCAAAACAGTGACTCAATACATGTGATTCACAAACACTGTGTAGTGTTTGACTGATTTGATTGAAACCTATGACCCAATGAATGCATTAATTAGACAACAATTATGAGTGCATAGTCTGAGAGCCCATATCCCACGCAATCGTCACGTTATATGCAGTTGTGATCCAATTGTGCGCCAAAACCAACACAAAAGACAATCACTTCGTGAGCGACACATCCGAGTGAAGACATCAGTGATAGTGAAGTGACGGACAATCACCGCATGAGTGCATCCATGGATGAGCACAACATAGCCATGACTGTGGACACGGAAGAGGTGGTCGACTACTACGAGGAGGAGGACAACGTAGAGCCGGAACTGGCGGTCACTCTGGAGTCGTGTCTACTCCTCAACAGTGTGTACATCGAGTCCATCGAAGAACTGAAGACCTATTTGGTGTCCAAACGGCGCGAGAATGAGTCGCGACAGTCGGAGCTGAAGAACAGCAACCACTTGAAGACCGTACGGGACGTGACGATCAATAACTACGGCTATAGTCACCCGAACTCATTGATCCCATTCATGGCCCCCTATTTCAAGGACGTGAAGGGACTGACGGCCCCTCCGAACGCAGACACCATCGAGAAGAGGACTAACGGACAGATCAACGAGTCCTACGTCTGCACTAATAAGCCGTGGAATGTAGTCGAGAGACAACGGCTTCAGGAGATCCTGCAGTCGGACGCCTTAGAGAGAGCCCACAAACCGCTGAGGGATGAGAAGGAGAGGCTCGCGAAGGATAAGAAGAATCTGAAGCAACACATGGACCGCATAAAGGAGTTGTCGGCGAGGATTGAGACGTTGAACGCGTCGGCCGCCGACCAGTTGTCTGTGGCCGAGCGCTGGGACGCGAGCCTCGATTGGCTGAAGTTCGCCACTGAGTTGGACACCGACCACACCGCCGATGACTGCGAGCTCTATTGGAATAACTTCTTGCATCCGAAGGTCAACACCAAGGAGTGGACCAAAGCCGAGGACAAGAGACTGGAAGAGTTGGTGAAAGAGCGGGGAATGCGTGACTGGGACGCAGTGGCCGACCAGTTGGGCACCGGACGGCTGGCGTGGCAGTGCTGCCAACGGTTCCAGTCGGAGCTAAATCGCGATCTGAAACGCGTGGGTCCGCTGACCAAAGCGGAGGCCGAGACCGTGGAACAGGTGATCGGGTCGTGTCGGGTGGGAGAGTACATCCCGTGGCATCAGGTGAAGTACTTCATCGAAGGCCGCACTTTACCGCAGATTAAGCACTACTGGCATAAGATTAATGTCGCCAAACGAGGGGATCAGTGGTCGGACGACGAGAATAAGGTGCTGACGGCAGCCGTCAAGAAGTACGGGACCCATAACTGGCGCAAAGTGGCGCAGTTCATACCGGGGCGCAGTAACCGCCAGTGCCGGGAACGGTATATGATGCGACTCAACTTCGGCTCAGACCGCAAGTTAGGCAACTGGACGGCCGCAGAGGACGCACTCATCAGACAGTTGGCGCCCAAACATGACTTCCGATGGGTTCAACTCGAGGATAAGATAAAGGGACGGAACGCCCGACAGATCGCCAGTCGGTATGAACTGCTCGTCAAATACGATAACCAGAAGGCGGTCCAGAAGAAGGTGAAGAAGGCGAACAAATTCGCGACGCGAACGCTGACGGTTCGCAACCTCTTGTACGAGAAGATCCGGCAAATGATTAATAAACAGAACCGCGAGTCCGAGAATTTGGACAAAATCTTACGCATCGGTAGAGCGAAGTTAGCGAAGAAGTTGGAAATGGAGAGACAGGGCATCAGTACTAACAATAAGGGCAGACCTAAGAAGACGGCCGTCGAAGAGGACTTGGACTCCAATATCGTTCAACTGTTCGCCACTTATGACCACAAGTCTAGTCCTAAGAAATCAATTTGTAAGCAATTGTTTGGCGTTTTGTGGTTAGATTTAATGATAATTATCTCGTAAACTGACAGCCCGTTCAAAGCTGGACACCACAGTGTACGACACGACCAGAAGTGTGTTGAATGAGTTGATGACCGGACAGGCATTCGAGTCGCGCACAGAACTCGCGGAATCCATTCGCCTATTGATCGACGAGTCGGTCACCACTCTTCCCAAAGACACTGTCGTTGCGGACGCGAGCGCTGAAGTGATAACAGCCGCCGACCCGCAGGACGTGTTGGTCAACACTAGTCAGGCCTCAGTTGCGGCTTCCCGTGAATGGAAGGCACCGCCAATTCTGCCGCCCAATAAAACTACAGTCAAAGGCCTGAGAGGACTACTCATACATTCGGACTATTTCTCGCAAATTATTGCCAAATCAGAGGTATTTCTTAGTTTGAAAGCAATTGAGTTGTGATTTAATCGACGTATTTATGAATCAATTGATAGATTTCTTTGGAAGAGTTTAGGGAAGCGCTCGAAGGGAACGAGAATTACGCCAAACTCTTAGTACAATTTAAGTCACTGTTTGGTTGGCCGGCGCTGTTGTCGATGATAGAGCCGCCCGAACGCAACGATAAAAGCGGTGAACAGCCGGCGCCACCGATACCGACTGGAAAGCCAGTGAGGGGTCGGACCCGCAAATCGTGGCTCAAAACGGAATCGTCGCGAATGATAGAGATTCGCACAAATCAGGCCAAACTGATTGAGTCGGAAATGCAGAGAATCGCAGATTTGAACGCAAAGGCAACAGCGGCTGAGATGGCGGACCCGGTGCCCGATGAGCCACTGAATGAGACGTCGGCTAAGAGTCCCTGGTATGTCACCAAAAAGGACCGCAAGTATTACAAAATGAAGTCTTTGGACAAGAGTTCGTTTGTGTTCACTCGAGTCAAACCAAAACGCGATTCAATTAAGAAATAGATTAGTCATTGAATCCGTGTTGCAATCTATCAGTAAATTTTGATAATCTGTTTAAATATTTGTTCAATAATTAGTACAAAAGAAATGATATTTTGTTAATGAAAGCCCTTATGATGTGTGGGCGAAATGACTCCCATTTATAATGACTAACATTCTCTTCATAACTACTTTTTCTAATTACACTGTTTTTTAAAATAATAAAGTTTTCATTCATTATATAAAGTTTTTAGATGTTTATATCTCGTAAATCGTTGTCACATAAATCATATATCGCGATATTACTGCACTACATATGATATACGCCTCACAGGTATGTTTAGTACAGTACCCATAATTGCCGGTAACGTAAGGGACAGTTAGAAAGTGTGTACCGAAGCGTACGTCTAATCGGTTAGTAATTCCTGGAGTCTTATGCTTGTGTTATGTATCGGCAAAACATAGACTACTCTACCCTATAGTCTATGACATAACGATTGCCAATAGATGTGGAAATTAAAGTGGAAGTAATGGTGTGATGCTCTCTCCTATCATAGACTGACGAGAGAGAGAGAGAGAGAGACTGGTGTTGGAAAACCAGTCAAACCTGTGTGTGATTTGATGGTTAGGGTCGTCGAGTGGAAGCAAAACAACTCATTGAAGAGAAAGTCTATGAAAACAAGACTTCTTTTTCAAAGTCACACTCAAAGTGCACAACAAAATACACGGCATTTGAATACTATGTTCGGGAATGGGATGTGAGAGAGAGAGAGAGTAACAACTCATTGAAGAGAAAGTCTATGAAAACAAGACTTCTTTTTCAAAGTCACACTCAAAGTGCACAACAAAATACACGGCATTTGAATACTATGTTCGGGAATGGGATGTGAGAGAGAGAGAGAGAGAGAGAGAGAGAGAGCATTACCAGCGATAGTAACAGGCATTGCGTTTGGCTTTACGTGTATATGAGTGCAGAGTCTATGTGGCGAGTGCTTTGACTGCCACTGCTATCCATCCAAACACTTGTTTGCGTCGATTGCCTAAGAAATCAAGAGTTTTCACCATTCATTCACTCGCTTATGGATTATCAAACACATGTCCATCGGTCCACCCCTCCATCCTAAGTGACAATTAGTGACACATATATCAGTGACCCTGTGTTGGGGACAGTATAGGGCCCGTGCGAGTGGCCCCAACTAAGTGAACATGCTCATTCTAAACACTAACTTACCTATCGGTGCATAAGTGTGTATTACCTGTAATACTGTAATATACTGTATATAATGGATGCGCTTTTGGAGGACCAGACACTTCAGGCAGTGTTGGGTAAGCCTTACATAACATGTCAGCGATATATCATGTCTTGAAAACAATGGTCTTAACTGTCATAAGACTGTCTATTATGCGGAATGTGTATCCAAATATTAAGCCTGGTCTTTGAGAGTGGTATTTGTTTTATGCCGTAAGAGGTTGTCATTGGATTTTAAATATTGTATTAGAAAATAGTCACACGTTTTTGCAACAAAAAAGTTTAGGAAGTTTTTTGGTTCACTATTTGATTTTAATACATGAATATACGAATAAATCTTTTGCCAGACATTTGTGACCATTAAAGCAAAGCTAAAAATGTTTTTAAATCTTAAGTAAAACTATAAAACCATTTCTTAAGAAAAGTTTGTCGTTTCGACGAAAAGATTGTGTTTTTTGTTGTTTCTCTCGTTTGTGTCGACAGTTCCGCCTCTCTCTCTCTCTCTCTCTCTCTCTCTTTCTCTCTCTCTCTCTCTCTTCACTGTTGTATAACTTTTTCACTCACTTTTCCGATAAACGATTTTTACGTTCAAAAACTTTTTTGTTACATAATTATTAGTGAATCCATTTTTTGAGGGAATCATATTTGAATTCATTATACATTCACATACTGTATATGTATTTGAAATTAAAACTATAAATATTTATTATGTTTTAAATCCATTATAATCTGCGATTCATTCAAATGAGAAACTAATTTTATTTTATGTAGTAATCAGTAATCCTTATGAAAAACTAGTGTAAAGTCTTAAAGGTCATGGATTATGGATTCCATGTATTAGCAATGTATGGCTAACTACAGGTAGAATATTAAATACGCGGATAGAGAAATGTTATACACAGCCTTTATAGTACCAAATTTTATCACACATTTCAATATACAGTAAGTAGGGGTTTATATTTGTTTAAATTTTAAACTTTAAAAGCTTATCACATGTTTTGTAGCTATTTCTCTATCCGTATATTTAATACGCTCTCTGTATAATAGAAAACCCCACATAATAGCGGAGACCAAACACCTGAACACACATTTCGAGTTGTTTTCCACAATTTTCTCATTTGCTATTCACTTGAAAAGCAGAACTTATTTTACAAATTAATTCCACTTTAAAGTTATGAAGAGATTCTCTCGGATTATGTATTGTAAGAGGGAGTCAAGTCATTAATCTCTGTCTCTCACACACACATATCATACCGACCCCTTTGGCTGTCGCTATAAAAATGTTATTATTTTATATAAAATTTTTTATACAAAACAACACTTTTATTTCGGAAAAAAGTTTGTTTTTCGAGCCAAATGTGTTTGAACTCAAATGGAAAGCATTAGAAAAACAAATTTTCAATTCATGTATCAATGAGACAGAGAATCGGATGAACAAAATACTTAGGGATTAGTTGCCAGTAAAACAAAAAAATTTCTCTCGGACTGTGTTTGTCATAAACATGTACTTTTGCCTATTATATAAGCGCACAGGTATTTGCGAGAAAAAGTGCAAACAAAGTGCACTGTAGTCTCACTGGGAGTGTGAGAGAGAGAGAGAGAGAGAAAAGTTGTGAAAAATATATGCGGAAATTCCTGATCAAATTGTTTGCAAATACAAAAGATGTCAGTAATGTTATGGCAGTAAGCGACAGATACTTACCTATTATAACACCTGTAGATCTGATAACAGGTAGAAATTGTTTAATTTACTGAACCGGTAATAAAAAGTTTGCATTTTTAGGCCTATTATAGGCAAAGCGCAGACATTTTATCGACACATATATCTTATATTGAATTTATTTTTCGCGTTTGATTTGGTTGTGTATATGAAATGCGATATATAATGAGGCATTTGTTTTGAATAATTAATTACTCGTAATATTCAATAACATTTATAACACTCGATACCGTAAAACAACTTTTTGTTTTGTCTGCGAGCCTTGAAATCGTTAATAATTTATATTTGAAAGAAAATGGGAAACACAAAAGTTTCCTAAAATGATTTTTCATTAGAAATATTGAGTTTCATAATTAAATTGACATCAATCACAAGTTTTGTAGCTTAAAAATTATTTTTAATGTTAAGATTATAATTAATGCTTTTGAGATTAGTTATGGGAATAAGGAATAAAAAAAATTAGTGCCAATAAATTCACAAAGTTCAATATATTCATAAATACCCTGATTATGAAACGAGCTTTACTTTTGTCAAAAAAATATAATCAATAACAAAAAAGTAAATCTCAAAAAATTATAATAAATATATTTCTTTTCTTCCCGAAAAATATCAAAAGCATTAACTTTAAAGCACTCATTAAATGTATTTTATTTTGCTATTATTTTTATATTAATTTATTGATTGCACGACTGATTCAAAAGCAATTCCTTTGATTTATTGTCGAATATTAATACTGTTTTCCAGAATCAGAGAAGAGTTTTGAAATTTTTTGTTATTAAGAGAGAGAGAGAGAGAGAGAGAGAGAGAGAGAGCATGAGATGAACTTGATTTTGATGCCCTTTTGACTAAATTACAGTTCACTCTCTAATGCTATTCATGCCATGAAAGGAGAGAGAGTAGGAAAGGGTATCTAAAAGAGCAGAGGAAGACCATTGATTGCCTACTATATTGAGTGTATCGTATAATTTATAAAAACCTGTTAATCCTCGAAATGCATTAAACATTTTTTTCTGCTAAACATTTATTATTCCAAACATTTATATGTTTATAAATATATTTCGCTTTTTCTTCTCTCTCATCAAAAACTATCTGTACGTTCACTCCTTCCCTCTCTCTCCTCCTCATTCTCTCTCTCTCTCTCTCTCTCTCTCTATCGTTTATGTATAATATCTGATCCGAATATATCGTGTAATTCATGTGTAATTATGGTCTTAAAAGAGAAAATCTTGAGTCCCTCTCTTAACTCGTTTTGACATTTAATTCTTCATATTATTTCGCATTCAATAAATAAACATTTTTTTCTTTGTCACTCCTTTTCGTACTTATAAAGGTTTTAATGAAAAAAAGTGGCGTAAAAATATACATTATCTCTAAGTCTCTTGTTTTTTAAATTTCAATTATAGAAACTCTGCGTTTAGATAGTTATATAAACTTATGTATACTTCTTATAAGTTTTGCTCTTTATTTCATACATTTATTTATTTTGTGCTTCAAATGCAATCGTAATGAGAATGGATTGAAATTGTTATTTGTTTTGCTTTTAATCTCTCACTTCTTTCCCTCTGTTATCGTTATTCTTGTGTTCAGTTTCTTTCAGATTACAATCAAATCAATTAGTTTTCATATGAATCTCAAAGAAGGGCTTAGAATATGAATAATATTTTGATTTTTTCGTTTCCCAACACTGAGAGAGACTTATAATATACCATAAAAATTTCAAATGCATGTTCATAACCTCATATACGCTATAATAGGAAAATAATAATTTTATTTTTATTTTTTATTCAATATTTTTTGTGTTGCAAAGAAATAATTTCATACTCAATGGAAAAGTAATACCACTTTTAGAGACCGGATTTCTTTGTCTGACGATTGATACATACATTGGATCTTAAAATTTTACTCTTGAGTTGCGGTGTCGGGCGATGGCAGCGGCGGCTGTGAGGCGCAGGTGTCTCGCATCCGATCCCAACAAATAATCATATATTATATGATTTTTATATACTTTTTGTATACATGTATATAATCCTATCGAAAATGCATTAATCATTAAAGTAATTGTATGTCCACTCCATCTCTATCTCCTATAGAGTGTTAACTATAATCTCGAGACATGTATTTATTAATAGATTTAATGTTATGTATGTCGCGATTGAAAACATCTGTTTTACGGAATATATTCCGCGGAATT